ATGAAATATTGACCCCAAAGTAGCTACCAAGTAGCAGTCCCCAGGAAATTCAACTCTACAGCACTGAAATGAATCACCTACATGCAATTCGAGAGATCAAGGAAATATAAGACTTAGTGTTTAATTATGAATGTCCGATTCAATCGTATAAAGCGATAACTGGTTAATATCATCTACCAATCACTGAGTTAGTGAATTAGTGATGAAAAATTTGTCACATAAAGGTCAAGTTAGACAAATGGATCAAAGCAGGTATGCATAATGAGTGACAATAATAAGCTCGCGATGGAAGATTGGCTCTGATGTCTCTTATGTGAGTAACACAAAGGGATGGAAATATCGACTCTTAGTTGAGGATGCTATAACAGTTAATAAACCTCTTTCACCAAGGCTGAGTGGTATGTGGTTTGTTGAAAAACCAATACTTCATGATGCGAAGTCTGCTTTCAAAGATTGCCCCGGTGACTGAAGGAATTATGTTATAAATGAATCGACTGTCAAAGCATTCATACTTTTGTATAAGACTCAATATTACGATTCAACCAAAGAACAGATGTCAAATGAATTCAGGCTGAGTGGAGAGGAATGTGCATTTGAATCGCTAGATGTATGGAGTAAAAGCATTGCACCTCCATTCACTAGTGTCGTCACACGCCAAATCTAGCTTCTTACACATTAATATTTCGTTAATGAACATGACTTATGCTTAAACAAACGTTAACATGTATATAACTGACATTATTGCCGTTCACACACGAGTTCCCAATTGAATTTAGCAGACTGGCCTGTCAGATCAAGCCAAGTTATCCGCAAAGGACCAACCAGCTGGCACACTATGCAATGAATTAAGTATTAAGAACTCCTAAGGAGAGTGATTTTTAACACGAAATCAGTTTCCAACTGACGAGGACGCTCGCACGTTTACCCACCGATGTTAGCACAACTTACTCTCTTCTATACAAACTAAATGACATATTCTCCTCATTTAGTAGAGTATAAGTAAGTAGTGGCAATTATAAGAACGTGTACGGATCTATATGACAAACAAACCAGCTAAGAGTTCCGTTGCATCACACCACAAAACAATATGTTACTGATATGTTCGGGAATCCGAACATTAAATCCCTCGACCAAAAGAAGTACTCAAACAGATACAACTCAAATTTTAGTATAAATTTAAAGAATAATCGGAGCCACTATATGCACTATGAGCAAATCATTAAAGCACAACAGAGTAGAATGAAAAAATAGATGCCATCCAGATAACGCTTACTTCCTGTAAAATGATACTAATATTGCCATTTCATAAACACGATTATATGAAAAGCATAAGATTTCAGTACTATTTTGACAAATATATATAAAGAATGCATAAAAGGAATAAAGAACAGCACTACGTTGAACATTGCCTCAACTCCAAATCGTCTAAGTGCTTAGTAAGGAATAAAACAAGTCGTATGTCGTGCGCCATGACTGTAACTCTGTGTGCATGTATGGCACATCGGTTAGAATTTTCGAAAAGGCAGACAAGAAAGGCCTCTGCAGCTTCTTGTAAGGCACCCATACAGTCGACAGTATACTTATATGGACCACCTGCTTGACGATATCCGATCTCACGCACCAGCCTGGCGAATGAAAGGCGACTTCAGATGGAGGGCGAAAAATATGTAAATAAAGGAAAAATAAGTCATCTAGATGATATCAATTTTAGGGAACTATATTCAAAAATAAGAATAATAGAGAGAAAGCTTGTCTTATTGTTGCATAAAGTATTATTTCACGTTTAAATGATGGCAATGCTCTAGTAAAAGCTATAGAGGTAGTTTGAAAAATAGCGATTATAAAGTGCTGATAAAACTCGTCTGCTTGGGATGTGCACACTGCCTCAATCAAGAGATAGTTAACACATTTAAATTTTTCAAAATAATATGAAAATATAGTCCAGAAAATAAACTTAGGAGGCAAA